TATATATTTTGTTATTTTTCGGTATGTTGTGTGAACAGGAACACAAACATATAGAGGGGTTTTCTCAAATTTGACTGCAGAACTTGAAATACACTAGATTTTATATGATCACACACCGTCAGATACAGGTTACGCTTTATATTTCTCTAGCCAATGTTTCCAATAGGCTCAAAGAGTAGGTGCATCCAGGATTATGAACTACATTTTTCAAAAGCTGTCATTTGTGCAATAAAGCCATGAGCAGCTATATAGAAATTAGCTAGAAGGACTGCCAACTGCACAAAATAAAGGTCAGAGTAAAACTGAAGCCAATTGTGTGGTGTCCTACCCACATATACCCAAATATCTCACCCAACCGAATGTCTGGTACTCACATTGCACATCAATGTACTGCCGAGTCTCCAGATCCTTCACAGCTGGATGGTCAACCATACACACGAAAGGAACTTCGTCATCTTCGCGGAGAACGGTGACGGATATCTGGCTGCGCACTCTGAACATCTTGTTGTCCACGGCCTCCACTTCTGTCTTACTACCTGTGAACATCCCATGTAGGTCATTAGGTTAAAATAATGCCGCATTACAGAGTTCGACTTTCATCACTTCGCTTTCCCCAAGTAACACTGCTGCTTTTTGATCTCTTATTGCTGGCATATGTACTAAGTGCACTTTGCAGAGTAATTTTCCCAGTCTTGTCAAATGCATGTCCTAGTTTTTTGTTTGCCTCCACAACTGTAAGCAATGTCAAAATGACCTGGTTGTGAGCTTCACCATCTAATAGGTAATTTTGAATTGCTTTTTTTTTTTCTGCATAGAAACATCATGCTGCTGAGCAATGACTCACTCTATTTCCTTAACAAGCAACTAGCCATCTTTTTGTTTCATGTTCTACACTGACACGCTAAGGTCTGTGCCGTTTATGCTTCTCAGTGATGAATCACCTGGAGCTTGCAGCATTATAATAAATCCTGTCAAACTTAACCTTTGACATATGTGCATAATTCTTTATTGCCATACCACTGCAGCACACTGCTCGGTGCATATGGAAAATCTGTTAAATCCCAGAGCAAGCATAATAGACACCAAGATGTAAGATTCTATTAGACACCAGTATATATTAAATTCCAGCAGCCTAGTGAATTATGAATAAAAACAAATACCTACTGTATGAGCAGACAGGCACCAAACCTGCCTAAATCACAAAGGACTGATCGTGATAATGCAATCACTTAGGCCGCTTCCACCTTTGTGGGGGTAGTTAAAAAAAAAAAACATATGCCAACAATGTACACTATGTACATGAAGCAGGCATATGCAGTTGCTGTATATGAACACAAAAACTTTTTCGCTTTTCTCTTCATATCCTTATAAAAATGGCCGCCTCTGTGCTCTGTGTAAATTACAATTAAAGGAGAACTATGAGGTGAGTGAAAATCACTCATCCTCATAGTTGGAGCCGGCGTGTGACAATGAAACTGTTGCATGTCGGCTCAATAGATCGGGAAGTGAGCGAACGCATACCGTCGCTCTCTCACTTCTCGGTCATCTCACTTCTCGGTCATCTCCCTGCAGAGAACAGTGACTGTAAGTCATGGCTCCCTGCAGGGATTACCCCCTTCCCCGCTCCGATCCTACAGCACTGACTGGAGGAGCAGACGATGGAGGGGGCGGGCACAGCTGGCTCTGCCTCTAGATAGGCAGAGCCCGCTGTCACTCACGCAGCTTGGTGGATCTCGACAGTAATATCGGGATCCGTCCCGGCTGTGGCGGTCTCAGTATACTGTGAGCTGTAACTCACAATATACTGAGCTTAGGGACACAGGAGGATGCTATTATATGTCCTCCCGCGACCCTTAAGAGAACTATGGGGAAAAACACTTACCCCATAGTTCTCTTTTAAGCTCTCTCTGAACTCTCCACCAATTATTAGTATTCATAGTGGCACCCCAACAACCCCTCCCCCCAGACAGTGTATTGTATGCAAAGACAGAGCTGGTGTTCAGTGATCGTGTTATACAGAATCACAGGGAGGCGGGCAATCCGACCCCGGTGACACACTGAATTTCCTGGAGACAATTTGAAATATCTAGGATTCAGGATTGATAACATGTTAAGTAAAAAAATGAAGAAAGCATGTAATGCGAGTCATGAAAATGTGCACAAATACAGTATATACCATCACTGCACCTCTACTTTGCCACAATAAATGCTAATCACTTATAAAGGTGGAAATGGACTTTAAAGTCATATAAAGCTGAATTCCAGGCAAACAAGCAAGTGCGCAAAAGAACACATATAAGGAGCTTTTTAACCTGCCAAATGATTTGCAATTCTGTCCATCCATTTCTGAAATGAATACAGTTCTGCCACACAGCACAATCCTTTCGGACAGTGGGGGACACTAGATCTTTTTTTTTCTTTATTGCAGTACAGTAGTACTTAAGGTGTAACTGAACACTTAAGGAGAAGAACATTGGTGAGCTCATCTCTGTCACGCTGCTTTCTCCTATTATCTGAATGCTTCCTTGTTAGCACATGAACTGATTGGTACCCTGTGCTGCTTCTCACTTTTGCAGTGTGAGCTCTGCTGTATATGGGCTACAAGTGGCTGACATCAAGTCAGATTCAGGTACTTGCACTGCTTGCATTTCAAAAGAAAAAACAAACAAACAAATATTTAATGATGAATTAATGAATACAAAGCTGCATTCAATTGTGTATTTTATATCTGCCTGGAATTCAGCTTTAACAGTGGAATAGCTGTTTCTGAATAAATTAATGGTATACCTGGAGTACTTTATTTTTCTCTGTGTTGCAAGTGACATAATATCATCATGCATTATGTATTACACCAACTAACCAAAGATAAATGCAGTCTGACGAAAAAAGGAAATACGATTGGTTGACATAGGTACTAAATATCATATGAAATATTATGGCGTTCTGGTTAAGTTGAAGTTACCTTGCAAGGACAGAGGCTTAGAAGGGTAGACAGTACAAAATTAGTAGCCAATTGATAAAAACTCCAGGAATTCAGGGCTAAGTATGGCTACTAGATTCGGAGTGATTACAGATTAAGCCTTTAAGTTGAAATGCTTTCCAGTAAATGGAAAATTGGCACTATATTCTATTCTCTGGAAACAGACTAAAAGCTTCTTCACTCCACGACATGCACTATAATTTGCATTACTGCAATACACGGTAACATACCATAGATGTGCATTGCCATTCAAAGTTAACTGCACTCAAATGCACATTCATATACTGTATGCATATGCTTGCACTGTGCTCACAGCATTGGGCAATGCACCTCTAGGCACAAAAAAACATGTCATTGCATCGCACTGCATTATGGTGTGAATGAGCCCTTAAAGTCTATATCAAGGGGAAAAAACTCCCCGTGCAGTCAGGCTACCCACAAACTGCTAGGGTTAACTCCTCATTAATGTCTAGGATACCTGGGACTACTACTTACCTAATCCCCGCTTCTCCGCCAGCCAGCATTCACCTCGTCCCTCCAACACTTCCGGCTTGTGAACTGTTCCTTGGAGTCCCTGCATATAATGTAGGCTGTGGGACTTGCATTGTACATGACAATGTCAGCGGGTCTCTGACGGCCAGGGTGTAGGGGGGGAAGAGCCTGTAGGTACCGGTCTTGGAGCCAGCAGGAGCGGGGATTAGGTAAGTAAAAGTCCTTTACATAGGTTCCCTAGACTTTAAACGTGCATTTACCTTTGCTGTGTTGGGCAAAAACATAACTTTAAGAGGGTTCAATAAAAAGATTGTTGCAATGCAATATTTTTCGAAATCGCCTGCAACAAATAGGGAGTCCAAGTTCATGAGTGTTCATTGAAAGGATCTGTCAAAAATTCAAATTTGACCAAATTAACGTCTGAATTGTCAAACTATCATTTTCAACTGTATTATCATTGGCGCACGGCAATTACTTATTGATAGGCGTATGGGTACTAGAACTTCAGTTCACCTTACCTTCTATCTCTTGATTTCCTTTGAACCAGCGTATTACTGCAGCTGGTTTGCTGGCCATAGCTGTACAGTTCATCTCTACTTCTTCACCTTCCATATACGTGTCCTTCTGCACATCAATGACCAGGTTGTTTGGTGGAACTGAAACAATAACAAAGATGGGGTGGAAGGACATAGCGAGAGATGGGTAAATAATCTGGTAATCTGTGTTTATTACAGCAATTGGAACCAAAGATACAGGATACAAAATTAGAGATTTACAGCAGTTAAGCTAATAACATGCAACGGAGCACACCGGGGCTTATTTATAAAACACTAAAGGCGGCGTGAAATAGAACTGTTGCCCATGGCAACCTATCAGCCTCTATCTTATTTTCTAACCTGCAGGGTAAGAATGTCAGCTGCAATCATGTTACATCTTACAGCTTATCAGATCAGTTTTTCTTCACTCTGGTTTTAATAAACAAGCCCTGGCACGCGTGACCGGATTAAAAACCTTCAATGATCACGGCACATTTTGGCCTTTGTGGACAGCTGACTTCGAACAACGGTTTTAGACAAATGAGATAAAAGGCTAAAAGAGGTTAACACAAATATCACTAAAGACCAGGACAGATTGTCTGCGACACAACAGATGTAGATGACATATTCATTAACTGAGAGGGTCAGCAGAATGCAGCAGCATCGGTTGTTTTTAGACATTATGACGGGATAAATGAGACAGAAAATGCTTGCATAGGGGAAAATAGAAGAGAGGAAGGTGAAATTAGGGGCATGGATATACAAGAACAATGGTGATCAAGAAGAGATGGTAGGGAAAAGAGGTGACATAAAGATAAGAGTTGGAGGTATGCTACTGCTTACTAAGAACTGTAATAGTGGTGTACGCCTCCTGTGGGGGGTCAGTGTAGAGCTGGCAGAAGTATCTCCCCTCATCATGGATAGACACGTTCGTGAGCGACACCCTCAGCTCGTTACTGGAGAAGTTCACCAGCTGGAACCGTGCGTCTTTCAGAGCTGTGGAATTCAAGAATATTAGTACTTTCCAGTAAATAATAAAGCAAAGCCACATGCATCACCATCTGTTGTCAGCCTTGGAAGATGTGCACATTACTCAGTATTAAAAGAAAAACACTTAAAGCCATTAAGTCGGGGGATTATAGAGTTAAAAGAAAACTATTAAAAAATCAATAAGACAAACGGGGCATTAACTCCTTACAATACACTTGGTATGAGACTTCCCGGAATAACTTATCATAATGCAGACATGGATCTATAGCTGCCGAACCACAACTACCAGCATTGGTTGTCAAGCTGCCTGCAAAGACGAAGAGTGGTCCTAATTTATATTAACTGAAGAAAAGGCAGAGCTGCTGCTTAAACAAAATGCTGGATTACAGCAAAATAAAAAAATCATAAAAAATACTTGCCTTACTCCCAGTGATCTCACCTAGGTGAGGGTAACATCATTAAGTCTTCTGTGGGATCATCAAAAAGCAGAGGATCCCACACTGCACAGTGCTGAAGTGTGTTCTCATGAGAATTGGGATCCTGAGTTTTTCCTAGATCCATTGTGAGGCCCAGGAGCATCAGTTTTAGGAAAAAGGCCAGAATTGAGGAGTAAGGTATTTTTCATACTTTTCTTTCAATGGGGTTTCACTCTTTTAATTGCTGCAATCCAGCACTTTGTAAACGCCGGGGCACTGCCACATAGGCGGACCTTGAATTTTAGTGCAAACACCTTACAAGGCTGTACAAGGATCCATACTCATACTTCCTCAAGACAAATTTACTTTACACCAAGGCTATCCAGCCATACTTCTTCTGCTGTGGGGGCTTCTTTTTTCAAAATTCTATTGCATGGTGATTACTTTTTGCACTTTGGGACATTGGCTTCTACAGTGCTTATGGCACATTGCATGCCTGCCTAATGCACACTCATAAAAGGCCCACCCCTAAACAGGTTTCAAAGCACACTCCCTATAGATCATTGGTTCTCAACCTTTGGGTCGGGACTCCTCGGGGGTCGAATTACGATTTTCCAGGGGTCGCCTAGTGGCTCTAGGCTGCCGGGAGAGAAACACTTTCTCCCGGGAAAAAAAAACCCCACCATAGGAATGCATAGCTAGATTCTTATTGGCTATTTCACTTTGCAAAAGCCAATAACAAACTAGCTATTGCACCAGCCCTCTGATGCTGCCAATCAGCAGAGGGGGACCTGAAGTTCTCCATCAGGTCCCCTTCTAGTGATTGACAGCAGCAGAGAGCGAGTGCAATATGTATGTATTGAAGCAAAAAAATATGTAAAAACACACTTCTAGCTATGCATTCCATTTTCCCGGTCCGCAGCTGCAGAGATTGGGAAATGTCTCAGTGCCTGTGATTGGCGCTGTCAGCTTCCTGGTGGGCTCGGCACGTGGAGCTGCGAACACGCCCGAGCCCATCCCTATCAGTGACAGTACTATACGTTATATAGCCACACACTTTAAATCCAATTCTTCTAGTTCCAGCTGCAGAGGCCGGTCCTGTCTTTGCCTATAGCAGTGGTTCTCAACCTGTGGGTCGTTGTGCATGGTGAGAGTCCTCCTCAGCTCTCTCCTAGCGCAGCAGTGTCAGTTCTCCCGCCACGCCACCAGATGTCGCTGCAGCAGCCGTGTCATCCCTAAATTTTACCTTTGGGGGTCACCACAACTTGGCAAATGTTACCAAGGGGTCCCGGCCCTAGAAAGGTTGAGAACCACTGCTATAGATCATATAATGAACTGCTAATGAAGTTCATCCAATACTTTTAGTGTGCAAAGTACTTTCCAGATGCTTTTTCACATGCAAAACCATTGTTATCAATTTAATTTACATGGGCATAACAATGCAGCAAATGTAATGAATCATGAGCAAAATAAGAAGTGTTCTCTTGAGAAAGGTTTTCTCACACAATACACGCCTTAATAAACATTAGTGCATCAAGCCCATTATCATTAATTATCCCTATAAACATGCTGATGTCTGCTGATCCCCTACAGTCATTTAACGTTTTGTTCAACCTGAGGCGATACATTTCTACCATACAGTTTACAAAGGACAGGTAATTCACTGTATGTTTCAAGATATCTTACAAATTTCTAGGCAATAAACACTCCTTGGGAACTGAGAACACCGGAAGGTTGTTTTCTTGAGGTGATTAATGTCGAGAGATTAAATCGCAGTTAATCGCACTTTTCTTATGCGATTAATCTCACGAGATTTAATCTCCCAAAATCGTTTTTTACTAGTCTAAGCTAATAATACCGCATGAATCAGTTATAATTTAGGGAGGGCAGAGGAAGCTGGATAATGAGTTGAACAATCTATCACTAAGTAACACTTTCACAAATCATCTAAGCTTCAAGGCTTACGAAAGTAACAATGTTTCTCCAAGAAGCTAAAGCAACAGCAGATGTCCTTCTGAGCAAAAATACAACCAGCCGTCCTTTACACATTGTCCTTTACTGCTAGATGAAATGGGCCTTCTAGTCAATGCTTTGTTTTACAAATATTCACTTTGTAATTTAATTTCATATGTTTGAAAGAAGCCAGTTTTTTTTCCTTTTTTCTTCCAAAAGTGTCACATTCTGTCATGGAAGACTCTCAAGGGCAAAGCGATGAAAGCCTTGGACCACAATGCCTGCAAGGCCCTGACAAGCACATACTTATTTGTCACCACTTATTGACCAGTGGTGTGAAGGCGTGAGGGAAAATATCTGAGGCTGATGCATTGTACATGTACACAGAGGATGCAGCCAGAAATATATATTTTCAAATAATAGAGTACTATGGGTCTATTCAAAGCTGGCATTACACATTCACTTAAACAATGTGTTATACATTTACTGATACAAAAGCCTTCTACAACTTTTTTTTCCCCAAGTATCAGACATTGGAACATTATGAACATTTGACCGCAGAATCTTGAAAAACACAGTGCAAATTATTTCAGTTTAATATCTAATTTTTGCCGTTGGCCTCACATTTTGTTCAGCCTATTCCTCTTTTTTACTATGGCGGCAATGGGCGGTTTTACATACTGCAGACATCTCCCTGCATTTTGATCCCAGCACCCCTTTCTACTGTATCATACGGTGAGCCCAAAAGTTGAATTCAACTAGGTGTCATTCAGCCTGGCAGAGGACCAGCGGACGCCAGCAGAGTAGAATTTCTGTGGCAACACAAAAGAAAGGACAAGTATCACAGCCAGAGTTGTATTTTTAAATAAGACTGGGCATTTGTAATGTAAAACTTGATATCTGACTTAACTTTGTCAGACTGTGCAGCTAAAAAAGGCCCCTCTATGAATTAGGGATAAAATGTATACTAAATGGGGGTTGTGACCTAAACCTGAACACTGCTGGCCTGGGGCTAGTAAAAGTGGGAGGCATTTTCTTTTTATGATGCCCAAACCGTGCTCCATTGTTGGCAATATTAAAGTGGATTTCAGCAAGCACCTCCTACACTCCCTGCCTGACTGGCACTAAGAAGCTAAGCATGATTGTTTTTCCATTTCCTTTTGACCATTTAGACTGGAGACCAATTGGACTGTTCTCTATATGACCACAATTGCATATTATGAACCGTAAGAGAGTTCAAGATGTAGCAAAGTTTACTCTTCTTCTGCAACAATTTATCTATCTGGTTAGTTTAAGTTAATCCCCATTCACACTATGACAATGCACAAATGCGCATCGCTCTGATGTGTTTTTGACCCGTACCATGAATACATGTCAGAGCGCGCAGGTTTTCCATCGCTTGCCGCACATTGCCATGCAATGGTGTTAATGGGGCCTGAGGTAGTAGCTATACATGTGTCAAAAACTGTCCTTGTACAGGGATGTATGCTCCAAGGCTCTTATTTGTATCCTTCCTTTATTACATGGTAAGTCACTGACTTGGAACATGCCCGTAAACAGCAGGTCTCAACTTGAAAAGTCAGGGACTCAGCCTGTAGTAGTAAAGCAAAGATACATATAACAGTACTGGGTCATGTCCCTTCAATAACAAGTCAGCAATGGAAGCTCCCATATGTATGTCTCTCTAGATTCACAAGTACAGAGAGAAGCAAATCTGATTTTTCTGGCAGGCACTCCCAGCTTGCTTGTTTTGGGTATGTGCCTCAAATTATCAAAGCCAGCACAGCCAAGTGGCAAGCATTTGCAAAAAGAGTCCAGTAACACCTTACAACCATCGCATGACTTTCGTTGTGCGATGGTTGTAAGGTGATTAAAATTTCATATGACCTACACATCATGGACAGGCAGATCATACTTGCGATCGTCGCAAGTCAGGGAGGGCTTGCAGATGATTGCAATGGTGAGCAGGCAGCGTGCGCTTGCGCACCTTGGGTCGTGCGGCTTTTGTCTTGCGATCGCGCTACGGACCCGACGAAAAGCGTACCATTTTTGGCGAGTTTTCTAGCGTGCTCGTTATATGAAAATCGCATGACCTACAGTAAATGCGGTTGCACGCTGCCCATCAAACTTACGATTATTGCACGATCACAGGATCACCCGCTATTATGGTACGATAATCATCAGGTGTATGGGCAGCTTGAGTCCACTTAGAGGACACCGTAGAGCAGTGGCGCCCACAATTTTTCGTCTGGAAACCTATTTTTGAAATGACGAGCTCAACGAGATATACCAATGGAAAAACACCTGCATTCAGTGGCGGGAGGGGGCGTGGCGATGCATTGAAGTCAATGGCACCACAGGCAGGCCTGTGCGAGCATTATTTTTGCATATCGCACTGGACCGGAATGCAGGCACTAATGTTACGGGTGCGGGTGCGGGTTACGGGTGCGGGTGATCACACTGTGGGCGGGGGGCATGCCTGCGGTACCATTGACTTCAATACAACCTCACACCCCTTCCAGCCCCTGAACGCAGGGGGTTGGCCGGCTTACATTCCAGTGCGTCATAGAGGCCCCGGCATCTTATCCTGCCGTGGTGATCGTGTAGCCGACGTTGCACATGGGGAGAGGTGTCCTG